TTTTCTTTTCTTTTCTTTTCTTTTCTTTTCTTTTCTTTTCTTTTCTTTTCTTTCTTTTTCTTTCTTTCTTTCTTTCTTTCTTTCTTTCTTTCTTTCTTTCTTTCTTTCTCTTTCCTTCTTTCTTTCTTTCTTTAAAAATTTTTTAAGTTTATTTACTTATTTTGAGAGAGACAGAGATAGCATAAGTGGGGGAGGGGCAGAGAGAGTGAGAGCGAGAGCGAGAGCAAGAGAGAGAGAGAGAGGAAGACAGAGAATCCCAAGTAGGCTCTGCACTGTTAGCTTGGAGCCCTATATGGGGCTTGAACTCACAAAACCATGAGATCATGACCTGAGCTGAAACCGAGAGTCAGATGCTTAACCTACTGAGCCACCCAGGTGCCCCCCATTTTTCTTAATGTTTGTTTATTATGAGAGTGAGAGAGAGAAAGAGCGAGTAAGCTGGAGCAAGCAGGGGAGGGGCAGAGAAAGGGGGAGAGAGAGAATTCCAAGCAGGCTCTCTGCTGACAGTAGAACTTGATCCAATGAACTGTGAGATCATGACCTGAGTTGAAATCAAGAGTTGGAGGCTTAACCGACTGAGCCACCCAGGTGCCTCAGAGTATTCCCATTTTATAGCAAGTTAGACTAAGAAGCATCTAGACCTTTGACTTGTTCATTTGGGAAGGATTGTTGCTGAAAGGACAGACCTAGCTTTAGATAGATAGAAATGCCTAGTATCTAAAGAGTACAACTAAGCAATTTTATTATATAGGCATTGTAGTTAAGAGGAATTGTGGCTATATTAGTTCAAGATGAAGTTGTGGAATGCCTCAGCAAGGTAGTAGAACAAAGAACAGTCAAGCTCATAGAACCCAGGCAGGCTAATAAACTATTGGCATCAAAAATGTCTTTAATAAATAGCAGAGACCTAGCCTCCAGATTCTTTAGATATATAGCATTTAACATGAAAGAGTTTGGAATTCATTCTAATAGCAGTGAGAAGTAATGGTAGAGCTTTATGCAAGGGAATGATATGATCAGATTTGTGTTTTTAAACATTGGCTCTGGCTAATCTGGGGAGAATGCCTTAGAAGGGAAGAGGAGAAGCAGTTAAGACCAGTTCAGAGACTTATATAGCTCAGGTGAGAGATGATGTGGCTTGGACAAAGTTAATAGCAGTAGACATGGAAAGAAGTTAAATCTCTTGCAGGGACTACTTGGTAATAATTGGAGGAAAGGGAATTATCCAGAATTTGCTCCAAGGGTCCTGGTATGTGGATGACGCCTGACTAGAACAGATTTGGTGGGGATAAGATGAGTAATTCAATTTTGGATGCGTTAAGTTTGAGATGCCTGTAAGAAATCTAAGAGATGGCAAATAGAAGTTGTATATACAAGTCTGAGATTTAGAGGAACGGTCATGTTAACATTGGAATACATGCTTCTCAGCAAATAATGACACTGAGAAAGTGATCAAGATGGTAAACTGTCATATCTTATGATATCCTTTAACTACACTGCCACTACCATTGTCATATCCACAGCTCGACCTTCCATAAGATGACAGAGAAGGTGAACATGTTTATTGGTATCCATATAAACATGTATTTACATGAATAAATTGATAACATGGGAAAAGAAGAAAGGGTTGGTGGATGGAAATTTCAGGAATTCCTGAAAGGTCTTAAGCATGAGGAAGCAAATCCATGGAAAAATAAAACCTGATGGAGCGATAGCTCAAAATATACAGATCAATAGTGTTCTCAAACCAGTCATGTTCAAGTAGTGGGGAGGAGGCCTGTAGTATTAGATAAGGAAATGCATATAGAGTGACTAGTCCCATACTGACGCCCTTCCTCCATATACCATGAATCCAAGCTGAAGCACTGGGTATAATCCAGAGGCCACAGAGAGGCTGGGAGATCCCTCAGGTAGCCTCTGATTGTCAGGAAGCTCAAGGAGCCTCATGCTGGGAAGATAAACTCCTGACATATGCCTGACACCAGGCATCATATCTCACATTCCCCACATTATCACCAGACGCTAGATAACCCAGGTAGGTTAATAAGCTACTGGCATCAAAGAAAGAGAGAAAGAGTTAGAGCAAGCAGGGGAGGGACAGAGAAAGGGGGAGAGAGAGAATCCCAAGCAGGCTCTGCGCTGACGGTGGGGCTTGATCTCGCGGTTCGTGAGATGGTAAACAAAAACAGCACACACAGACAAATGGAGACTCTGAAATGACTTTGCTACTAAGAATCACTAAACATTTGAGGGAAACCTATCTTAGCAAAAAGAAGCACCAAATGTAATAAGCAAAAAATAACAAACCATGAATAGGCAATAGACTTTGAAATAACTAAAATTAATATTCAGAGAGGTAAGAGAGGTTATTGTATGCATAAAACAAACCTAGGATAGAATGAATTAAACCAATCTTAGCATTAAGAAATACGCTTGTCAAGATAAAAAAAAAAACAACACAAATGGAATAAAGTGGACACAGCTAGAAAGAAATTAATGAATTGAAAGATCGAGCTAAGAGATTCTTCAGAATGCAGTCTTAAACTGAGAAAGATGGACAGTATGAACAAAAAGTCATATATAGAGGCCATTTTATTTTTATTCTTTTCTATTTTTGTTTTGTTTTGAGGCCATTTTAAAGCTTCAACATTCATCTTCCAGAAAATTCAAATAAAGACAATGGAAGAGAGTTAAACTCACAGAAATGATAGGAGGAAATTTCTCCAGACTGATGACAGACAAGTCTTTAAAAACCCCAGTGAGTACTGAATAAAAGAATAACTGAAGACCTACACTCAGACACCTTCATATGAAATTACAGAATGCTAGTGATAAAGGAGGAACTGACTAAAAGCTTCCAGAGAGCACACAATTCACTTCCAAAGAAAAGAAGCAGTCCTATTATAGGGAAAAACAAGTCATACAAGATAAAATGCAGTAGTTTTGAAGTTGTGGGAAAAATTTTATTTGAGCCCATAATTCTATATTCAGACAAATCAGCAATTCAATGTGAGCAGAAAATAAAAACATTTTTGGACCTACAGTGATTTACCTTTTTGGACTGTTACAGATCTTTGAAAGAATTATTTATGGAAGTACTCCTGAGCCCGAAAAGGGGGGAGTAGGGACCAAAGAAGGGAAAGGCATGTCATGAAGACACAGTATTGAGGTAAAGAAACAGTGGAGAGCTTTACAGTACACACATGTGTGCAGTAAAATGTTGAGCCTCATAGTTTCTGATCTATGATGTTCATCTTTAAATATGTCAGCTTAAAATGGGAGGCAGAAGAAAAAGAAGTGAAGTATTAGGATTCTTTTTCAGGAAAACGATTAAGATATAGATTAGCTCTACACTTGTTTAGAGAAGCATAATCTGAAATGTATGAAGAATAACCGCAAATAGGACATTTAATGTAAATCATGAGACTAAAAAATTAGAAGTTAATCATTCCAACCGAAGGCAGAGAAAACAAGGAAGTATCATAAATAAATAAAGTATGCGATGACAGGAATAAGTATAGGTAATAGGTAAAGGTGAATGGGTTGAATTCCCCTTGTAGTAGAATCCCAGACTTTTAAAAATAAAACACAGCTCTTAGCTGTATGTCTGTGTGAGATAGTTCTAAAGAAAAAAGCAACCTTGAAATTAGAAATGCGGAGAAAAATATTCCACACAAATGAAAAAGCAAGTCATAGTACTGCTAGTATCAGATGAAATAGAATTTAAGGGAAAATGCATTAACGAGGTCAAAAAGGGATCTTTCATATTAATAGCAGATACAGTTTCCCAAAAAGATGTAATTGCCCTGAACATTCTATGTTATCTAACAACATAGCTTCAAAACATATGCAGTATTAAAAACTTCTAGAGTTAGAGTAAGAGACAAATATACTTTTTTGGTAAGTCTTAATAGACTACAGTATATTAACACATAAGATTTTAAAAGCAGCTTTATTAAGATATGATCACATACCATACATACATAAATTCACCTATTTAA